CTGCCCCTCTCTCTCTCTGCCTCTGCCCCTCTCTCTCTCTGCCTCTGCCCCTCTCTCTCTCTGCCTCTGCCCCTCTCTCTCTCTGTCTCTCTCTCTCTCTTTGCCTCTCTCTCTCTCTCTGCCTCTCTTTCTCTCTCTCTCTCTCTCTCTCTCTCTCTCTCTCTCTCGCTCTCTTTCTCTATCTCTCGCTCGCTGTCTCTATCTCTTTCGCGCTCACTCTCTCCCTCTGTATCTCTCTCCCATCTCTCTCTTTCCCTCTCTGTCTCTCTTTCTCTCTCTCCCTCTCTTCGTCATTCTCTCACTTTTTCTCTCTCCCTCGTTCTCTCTCTCTCTCTCTCTCTCTCTCTGTCTCCATCTCTATCCCTCCATCTCTCTCTGCCCCTCTCTCTCTCTGCCTGCCTTCTCCTCTCCTCTCTTGCCCTCTTTCCTCTCTACTCTCTCTCTCCCTGCTTCTTTTTTTCTCTCTCTACTGCATCTACTCCTCTCCTCGCCTTCTCTCGTGCTCTGCCCCCTCTCTCTCTGCTCTTGCCCTCTCTCTCTCTGTCTCTCTCTCTTCTCTTGCCTCTCTCTCATCTCTCGCCTCTCTTTCTCTCTCTCTCTCTCTCTCTCTCTCTCTCTCTCTCTCTGCCTCTCTCTCTCTCTCGCTCTCTGCCTCTCTGCCTCTCTCACACTCTCTGCCTCTCTCTCTCTCTGCTTCTCTCTCTCTCTCTCTCTCTCTCTCTCTCTCTCTCTCTCTGCTTCTCTCTCTCTGCTTTTCTCTCTCTGCTTTTCTCTCTCTGCTTTTCTCTCTCTGCTTCTCTCTCTCTGCTTCTCTCTCTCTCTCTCTCTCTCTCTCTCTCTGCTTCTCTCTCTCTCTCTTCTCTCTCTCTGCCTTCTCTCTGCTCTCTCTCTGCGTCTCTCTCTCTCTTCTCTCCTGCCTTCTCTCTCTGCTCTATCTCTCTCTCTCTCTGCACCTCTCTCTCTCTGCCTCTCTTTTTAATCCGTGTTTGTTGCTGCTGTTAAATCAGTGCTGTAGATTAATTACTTACTCATATTATACTAATTATTTGATGTTTCATATCCTGCTTCACGCACACGTACATAATTTCACGCGATAACACGTGTTCACAACATATATGTCCTAATTGTTAATGTTTACATTATTGCATAGCCCCCTAAGTTATTTAACTTTTATATTATAAAGTAATTATTTTGATACTTGCTTCTCTATAAGTGTCGAACATGTCGTGATTACTGCTTGATGTGCCACAGTAGGGTGCGTTACGGCGAGGTTCGTCGTTGCAAAATTAGAACATTTACACAGCAATTTACTTGAACTATTAGTCGATAGGATACGCAACATGCAGACTTTGGCTAGTAAATACATTTCGTGTTTATTACCATCATTTTTTAGCTTATCTGACACAGTCAGGTGGAGCTTGTACAATGGCATGAGCGTTCGTCCTTCCGTATGTTTTGCAATATAGGCCTAGCCACCAATATAGTCTATTATTAGTACGCCCCTCCCAGGCGTTAGTTGATTGTATTTGCGATCATAACACGACGCGTATTTCCTCCCCGCAGGTGTACACGCTGTATGTGTCGGCCGACTCCCCAGTCGAGCGTGCGATCGCCACGGACTTCGAGCACCTGCTGTCGTCGGCGTGTGCAAACGCTCGAAACGAGCGATCCTGCTCACGTTGCTGGAAACTTGCATCGCACGGCTGCCTGAAGATTGGCCGTGGGAGGACCTGTGTCGAACCCAGTACAGTAACGGTATGTCTCGTCGTTGTTGTAAATCGTGTGTTAATGTTCTCGGTGATGATTCTATAATTTCTCTCTCTCTCGTATCTCCTCTCTCTCTCAGCGCGCGCTCTCTCTCTCTCTTTCTCCTTCTTGTTTCTCTCTCTCTCTCTCTCTCCTCTGCTTCTCTCGCCTCTCTATCTCTTGCTCTCTGCTCTCTCTCGCTCTCTCTCTCTCGTCTGTCTCTCTCTCTCTCCCTCTCCGTCTTCTATATCCTCTCTCTCTCTCTCAGCTTCTCTTTCTCTACTCTCCGCTCCCTGTCTCTAGCTCTCTCTCTCTCATCACTCTCATTATTCCCTCATCTCCGCTCGCCGCTCTCTCTCTCTCTGCTCGCTCTCTCTCTTCCTCTCTCTCCACTCTCTCTCTCTCCGCTCTCGCCTCGCTATCTCTCTTTCTCTCGCTCTCTTCTGTCTCTCTCTCCTCTCTCTCCCTCTGTCCTCTCTCCCTCCATCTCTCTCTTTCTACTTTCTTGCCTCTCTGTCTCTATCTCTTTTCGCACCGCTCCACTCTCTCCCTCTGTATCTGCTCTCCCATCTCTCTTTCCCTCTCTGTTCTCTTTCTCTCTCTCTCTCTTCGTCATTCTCTCGCTTTTTCTCTCTCCTCGTTCGCTCTCTCTCTCTCTCTGTCTCTCTCTCTCTCTCTCCCGCTTTTCCTCTCCCCAGCTAACAATATAACGTTGTGCGCCAAACCGTTGTCACAACGTGTCACTTACTTGTGAAAACGTTGTGCCTACAACGTTGTGGCAACGTTATTTTGTGCGACTCCCTGAACGTTGCCACAACGTTGTGATACAACGTTTGCGTACGTTGTGCCAACGTTGTGCAACGTTATTTGTGGACTCCCTTGAACGTTGCTACAACATTGTAATGTAACGTTCCTGCAAACCATGTATACGTTCAAATGCAGGCCCGCTAACCAGCGCGGGGGATCGGTGCCGGGATTCGACGATCCCCCCCGCGGAACAGGGAGTTCCGCCGCTCGACAAATACTCTAAAAAAAAACGTCAAAATCGAGCGGGCGTAGGCCCACTAATAATAGCGTTATTACACAGCATAACATATTTGCCCAAGCCGCCAGCATAATGTGATTGTTACGTAGTATATACATTGTATCAAAAGAACCAGACAAATGTTCTAGACATATACGCCTGCCCGCAGTTCTGTGAGACCAAGCTGCGCCTCGTGCTCATAGGGTCAGGTCCCCCAGGCGTACTGACCGCCGAACGTACCCTGGGCACGTGCGTATACCGAACGTACCCTGCGTCACTATTTGATATGTTAGGTTATACGTTAGGCATTAGTGAGGGTAGAGTGGTTTGTGGTTAAATGGGTTCGGGTTAGGGAGTAGCTGTAAGCGATCCTAGATCGGTTTAGCGGAGTAGGCGAGTTACTCGCTTCGGCATATTATGATAGCACCAGGGTACGTTCCGGTTACCGCGACCGTACCCAGAGTACGTTCGCACTACCCGCGGGGACATAGCACCGCTTCTCAGCGCCACGCTCGTAGCGGAAATCCCCTACGCGTAGGCGGTTTTAGCCTTCCGGTAGGGGTAGGCGGGATACCTACCGGTGAAAACGACAATTTGTAGGTGGATTAAGTAGAGGGGTTTTTTGAATTTCCTTAAAAATGTTAACCCCTTTTTTCATAAATAATAGAAAAATCCTCAAAAAAGCCTCGTAGCATGACTTTATGCGGGACACCGCTTAACGCCGGCTGTCGTTGCCCATGTCACAACAGGGCGATGTAGCGTTCGGAATGCAAACACATACATGCACATACAGAATCTAAGACCACAATCGATTCGTGTGAACACGTAGCTCCATCTTCGGAGAATATTGAGATTTTTTGAAACGTGGTACGGCGTCGTCATAGATCGTGAACACTTCAATTTCAAAAGTTTGCCTGTCGGGACGAGGAGCAAGTACTCAGGGCTGCCAACTCTCACGCATTAACCGTGAGACTTTCCTTTCAGCATTTTGACAAGTCTCACGCTCTCACGCTGGGACAATATCTGCTACTAATATCTCACGCCCACAGGAAAAAAAAATGCTCAAAATATCTCATCGCACAGCAAAAAAAAATCGCTTAATACAATATCTGAAAACAGTCCTTTTAGTATGTATAAAGCTTATAAAATGCAAAAAGCTGAGCCTTACCGTGCGGAGTGGGAAACAGGCGCGGGAAACACCATCCCCCCCCTTCGTTCCGCGCCCTTTTTCCTCCCTCGCCCTCTCACTCTCAACCTATTACCAATGCTTGGCAGCCCTGAATACTGAGTGTACTCCTGCTATTAAGTTGCAACTTTATTTGCAGATTATGGCGCTATTTTATTATAATAAATCTGCTTAAAATCAAATTATATATTCAAGAGTGAGATCTTCTAATATTACTGTGCAGCGCTTGACACAGCCGGTCGCCCACTCGCCCGCGGCGAGTAAGCATTCTCCTGGGCGACTGAAATCTCATCACTGCTGCCAGCGCTGCAGCTGGCCCAACCAAGGTGTACAAAAAACCAGAAAAAAACCTGTACACGCCCCTGCACACACACACACACACACACACACACACACGCACACACACACACACACATTCCCTGTCCCCCCTGGATTTGCGCCCCTGGTGTGTGGGCGTTCGTCTCTGTGCGTCTGTGTGCGGGCTCTGTGTGGGCGTGTGTGGGAGTGCGCGTGTGCGTGCGCGTGCGAGTGTGTGTGCGTGCGTGTGCGTGCCGCTGCGCGTGCGTGCGTATGTGTGCGTGCGTGTGCGTCCGCGCTCGGGCTCCGCCTTCGAGTTCCGGTGTTACCTAATTCGATCCCCCCCGCAAAACTCGCTGGTTACGGGCCTGCTAGTAACACGCAATAAAAGCTATATAACCGTATCGTTAACCGAATCTCACCGTGTTCTGTTTACTTGGTGCTATCTGCTATCTGCTACGTGTCATCGCCGTCCTGCCTGATACACCGACAGGAGCGGACTCTGAATCCCACTACTGGACACGCGTTACGAACTAACGTCTGTCGAACCGTAGTCGGCCACCCTAGGGGCACTACAATATACTACATGCATTTACTACATTTGCTTTATTTACCTGGTCCTTATTGTTGACTTGCAAGCAATCATTCTTTGTTTTATTGAGATTGTCCATGTTTCGACCTGTCAGTGACAACCTCACTCCGTGTTTGGCAAATAATATAGCAGTGGCAGCGCCGATTCCAGAACTTGCACCTATAATAGTGTGAAAACCTTCATATAGGCTCGATCGAGTCCTAGTATATTCACAAACCCCGTTTGAAACCAAATATTACAAATGCTGCGGTTTATGAAGCTGAGCTAGAGAGTAATCGGTGGGGGGCACGAATGACGCGGCTCTTGCCCTGCGACGGAGCGAAGGGCTATAGTACTAGAGTAGAGCTAGCAAAGCTTTAGCCCGACCAGGCTGTGCGACGGATTGTCTATACAATCCGTATTGTAACGGGTATTGTAACCCTATGGCTATAGCAATACCGTTTCTTGGAGCTAGCAAAGCTTGAACTTCACACTGTTACCTGTATGATTATTTAGAACCCGTAGTCGTACTTAGTACTCGTAGTCGTATGTCCGCATTTTTGTTTTCATGTTACCTGTGATGAGGGCTACTTTTCCAGCTAAACTTGCCATGGTGAGACTCGTGTTGACTGTTGTTCTTCTGGGTGCAAATCCACTTTAGGCACCTTAATTATATCACGAAGTGATGCACAGATTTCTGTGTATCACCCACTGATGCACAGACTTTGCACCGGACTTTGCAGTGGATTACTGCTGTGCGTGTTTACGAACTGAGTTTACCACATGCTATCAGGAGCGTATAATGACAAATAATGACATAATAATAATATTAATAATGAATAAGGAGGCGTAAGGTATAATGACAGGAGCGTATATTTGTCATTATACGCTCCTGATGCTATGGATACCGGTTTAATTGCCAGATGCCGTACGCTACCTAGATGCTACGCCAAGTTGCCAACACAATCTCACCACAGAGATTACGTGACTATCGGCTTTTGATTAATAAAAATTAATCAAATTAAGTTAAATTGCGCCGCCAGAACAAACGATTAACGAGAGTTGTGTGTGGTGTAGACTGGTACCCGTCCCTTCTTACAAGTACGATATAGCCTATATCGAGCTTGTGAGAAGGGACGGGACTAGTCTAATCTGTGGTGGAAACATGATGCAGCTGTTTCCGGTTCCGGTATGAGTGTATAGACGGACATCTAGGCTCATCGTTGCTCAAAAAAGATACGAAATGTACGACGAGGTACAAGTCCATGGTTAAAGTGACCCTAGCATCCGGGAGCGAAAGTAAGAGAGCGAGTTTGCGCGTATTATAAACTCCTTTTAAATGATACAAAAATTGCCGTTTGTATTGATCTTTCAATCATATGCCGAATGCCCATTTTCTGTTGTATTCATCCTAGAAATTAGAATTGAATAATGCAACCGTAATTTGACATTAATTTGCAGATGAATGACCATTCGACTTCGAGCTCCAACAGTCCACCATCAATACAGTGCAAGCCTTCTCCCAGTGGTGGAACTGCTATACACAGAATCTCACCTACAACCTGGTTTACTACTGAGATTCAAGCTATGATGTAAGTGTAAGATGTACATACTAGATCCTTCACTATTGCTTTCATTCTTCTGCATTACTCTATGGCTCTGCCATGCAGAATGATTAAGGATACTCTCCACCTTTTGCACGGGTATTGCTCTAAATTAATGAAGATTAAACGTTTATTGATGAATGAATCGAATCAATCACTTGTTTTATTTATAGAGGAGATATATCTCTATGCTCAAGCCAAAAAATTTCATGAAATTTCCAGCACCTAAATATGTTACCACACAAATTTTAAAGTTTTATGTAAAAATGGTATTTTGGATATTTCTCAATTACCAGAAAGATAAAAGGAAGGAAACAACTTACAAGTTCCCAATATTATAGTCTTTGTGTTCTATAGTAGAAATAAACTGTTTGGCTTAAACCAATCATACCTAGTGCAGCACAGCGTGTTAGATGGTCCACGGCAGCTTTGCTCACATTATAGGCAAGAAGATTTGGAAACTAGAATGCAAAATTTAAAACAACATTCATTCATACTCTCATAGATGGTCTACAAAAGACATCCTCTACTATATTTTCAATGGATACTAATTCTAATTCTGCTTCCATCTCTGTTCTACTACTATTATTCTATTTTATGGCTACTGATTATATTTTCAATATATATATATGTACATACCTATACATTACACAGATAGTATCATAAGTATAGATATGCTAATGATAGCATCAGGAGTGAATTATAATAGATATATTATTATTCACTCCTGATAGCATGTATAGTACTAACGGCAGGATTATGAACAGTTATATATTGGATAGCAGGGATTTTACTTTACTCACAGCTCGCATGCCATTTACACTTGAAACGTTGACGACTGAGCCTTCAGTCTTCACCAGGTGTGGCACAGCCAATGTCATTAGCTGTAATACCGACCTAGACACCCACAATTAAGTTTGATTACATATATATGATTCCAATAGAAATTTGTTGTAGTAAGTAGAATTCAAGTAAATATTTTCAAAGAACTGCAAAAATTAAAAGATGTCACCGAATACGAGAAAAGACATTAAATATAAGGTAGCCAGAAAGTTATCATTATATAGGTAAGTGCACACCGTTTACTGATAGACTCGTATTTTACCATGGCTCATCATCAGTAATAACAGTGATTTAACATTGACAGTAAACATTTGCATATTTATGTTTAGAGGAATTAAATAGCACATAGCCTTCACCTGACATTAGTTTTGTACAACAAATCCATCTGCTCTAAGCTGACTTGCTCTATTCCACCAACTTGCAACATTCCAGCGTTGTTCACTAACACATCCAACTGACCAAATTTCTCAATAGTTTTCTCCATAATATTGCAGACGTCCGACTCCTTTGTAAGATCTCCAGTAAGAAGGAAAGGCTGTAAAAGAAAAGCACATTCGTGTTAACAGTGCTGTTATCAATTTTTAATAAAATCAATTCATATATATATATATACATTATATAGATTCCACAATTCAGCTACTATCAAATGGTCATCAATATTGTGGAGATTTCGGGGGTGTATAACGTACAGGAGTAGTAGACTAGATCGGGATGGACAGACGAGTGCAGGAGCAGACGATCCCGCTATGATATATAACCCTAATATTAGTCAAGTAGGAGGCCAGGGATAAATATAGAACAGGCGTGTACCTTGGGTTTTGTCTATATTAGGGCGGTTCGGAGTAAATTTGCTTTTTATAGTGGTTCGTGTTATCAAACACCAATCAAGCTTTGTAAGTCTGGCACGTCCGGCTCCTGGAGGAGAAATCCTATATAATGTTATATATATATATATGAATTCCGATTTTATTAAAAATGCGATAACAGCACTCGTCCTCACACGAATGTGCTTTTCTTTTACAGCGCTTTCCCTTACTTGACTGCGAGATCTTACATAAGGGCGGCCCCCAGATCGGAGGTCGTGCAATATTATCGGAACGAAACTACTTATCGAGAAGATGGGGGGTCAGTTGGCATGTAGTTAGTAGCAACAGAGCGCCCTGGAATAGTTGCAAGTTGGTGGTTGGCAATAATGAGCAGAGTCCGAGCGGATATTAGAGGCCAGCATGGATTTGCTCTGTACTAACTAACTAATGTCAGCATGGGGGAGGAATGGCTATGTGCTATTAATTCGCGTGCAAACCATTTAAATATTGCAAATGTTGTACTGTCAATGTTATCGAATCACTGTTATTACCTGGATGCATGTCAGCCATCGGGCTAAAATACGGATGTCATGCGATCACGTGAAACGTGTGTGCAATTCTTTACCTTACATGTTATGAATGATAACTTGTCTTGGCTTACCTTAATATCTTAAGTGTCTTTTCTCGTTATTCGGCGGCAACATTCTTTTAATTTTTGCGAGCTTGCTTTGAAAATTAAGATTTACTTGAATTCTACCTTACTACAACAAAATTTCTATTGGCGAGATCATTATATATGTTATCGCAAACTTGAATTGTGGGGGTGTCCTAGGTCCGGATGTATTTACAGCTAATGACATTGGCGATGTTCCTCCGTGAGTCCACTCGCCGTCTGCCTGCTCAAGAAAGCACTGCTTCATCCCTGCCACACGCTGGTGAAGACTGAATGGCTGCAGTCGTCCAACGTTTCAAGGCTGGTACAATGGCGGGAACAAATGGCGGAGATCCCGCGCGTTGTGAGTAAGACCCGATGCGGTACAAAGTCCGTGTTGGCTAAATGCCGAATTATGATACTGTTTCATAATCTGCCGTTAGGTTCAAAGGGAGTACGGTTTATACGTTATGCTATCCAGGACGCTCGAATAATTAATAATCGTATTATGAATTCACTCTCAAGACTGTCTATCTAATTTAGCATATGCAAAGGTATACTTATGATTACTATCTGTCTAATGTATAGGTACTGCTACAGTAGGTATATATATTGAAGAATAGAATCATAGCCATAAATTAGAATAATAGTAGGTAAGAACAGAGATGGCAAGCAGAATTAGGAGGTTAGTCACTCCATTGAAAATATATAGTAGGGATCGCGTCTTTTGTAGGACGCCATCTGAATTGGAGAGTGAATGAGCATGCATGTGTGTATTTAAATTTTGCATGTCTAGTTAATCCAAATCTTTCGTGCCGGAAGGTGATGAATAGGCTGAGCAAAGGCTGTCCGTGGACCATCTTAGACACGCCTGTGCTGCACTAGGTATTGATTGGTTTAAGGCCAAAACAGTTCCCGTAGTTTCTGCTTTATAGAACACAAAGACGAATGAATTAACATTGGGGCTAATGGTAGTGTTATCCTTAGGGGCCTATGTCATCGCTAAGATGTCGAATTAAAATATTATTAGCAAATTTGCTAAGGGAAAACCAGCCCACATTTTGTAAGTTGAAACACTATGAATGCATTTTTATTTTAAATGATAAATTATGTTACATTGCCATATAACAGTTACACACAAGGGCACGCATGGGTTACAATCTCGCTAAGGGATAAGGTCAAAAGTGTTAGACGCCCTAACCCCGCGCAAAGAATTTGGCTCAACAGTGTATAACATGTGGGGTGAGAAAGGATTCGAGGACTGGGCGAGACAAAGGAGTAGCGGGTGCGGGGTTGGATTCAGGGCGCGGTGAGGAGTGGCACACCGCGCCCTCTGTTGGGCGAGAGTGAAATAATATTGTACAGAAACTATACCCAATTAAAAGGTTTAAGATTTGAAACAGAAGGTGGTTTATGTTAATGGGTCGCGCGCGCGGGCGAGCCTACAAAACGAGGGTGGCAGCCGGTAAGGAGACGTGAGCATGTAGGCG